TGTCCCAGGCAAAAACCTCTCTCTTCCCAGCACAGGGGTACAGCACCTAGGTGAAAACTCTGAAACTTCAATCCTCTGGGATCTTGGCCCAAACCTTCCAGGGTCTGGCCCTCAGCCTCCTCTTCAGCTCAAGGCCTAGTCAGGACCCCAGGATGAGGCCCTAGTGGCCCAGATCTGGCCCTGGGCTAGGGAGGCCAGCGAGGCTCCCGCTTGACTGGGCGGCACCGTGGCCAATATTGACTTTGGTAAACACCATTTTGCACTGAGCGCAGGGCGAGGGCGGGGGCGCTTTGACCCCGGTAGCACAGGCAGCGGCTCCGCATTTAGACGAGGCCATTAGCAGCGATCGATGGCTGCTCTGCGCTCTCCGGCCGCTGGGCGCTCCCAAATGAAGGTTAAATTTGCTCTGCGCCCCTGTGCAGCCGGCCATGCGCCCGCATAATGGACCGGGCCCAGCTAGCGCTCATCCAGGTTAAGCGCAGGCCCAGGGGCTGCTCTAGCGAGCTGGGGAGGAGGGCGGCTAGGCCTGCAGATGGCAAGGGTGTGAGACGGTGTGTCTTACTCTCGGTCACTGTCCTGGTTCCCGGAGGGGCTGGGTGGTGTGTGCTGTGCCCTTGTCCTGGACCTCAGGCCTTGGTCTCCACAGTATGATCGTGCCTTCCTGCTGGGGTGTGCGACCCCACCCCGTGCATCCGAAGTGGTGGAGAGATCATCCCTAGGAACAGGTGAGGTGGGAACCTGGCCCTTGAAAGACAGGGGTGTGTTCTTTGTTTGTGGGCCACTACTTTGTGTGATTGCACAGGCAGACGTGGACATGGACAAAGGTGTGACTGGCCTGTGTTCAGGGGCGACTGTGGCTGTCTGAGTAGGAATGAGTAGTCCTTGCTGAAAATTCCCCTCGGGGCCTCCTGAGAGCCCTGCAGCCTAGGTGAGCTCATAACAGCCATTGGGCCACATCTCCTGGCTGGCACGTGTCAGGGCCTCACGGTGAGCTCAGCTGCCTCACTGCATACTTAATTCAGGCCTGGAAGTGCCCAGCACAACAGTGGCACCGTGTTAATTCTACACTCCCTACAAATGAGGAAACTGAGCCTCAGAGAGCGGAAACAGCTCACCAGGATGGCAAACATCATAAAATAAAGAAAGTGGAAATCCAACCACACTCTTCAAACCATGCTCTGCCTACTGCTCCTTCCTGTGCTGCTGGTGGTAACTCTGGGGTCAGGTGGCTTGAAATGCCAGCTCCTGGACAGGTAAGAGGTGAGGAAAAAGCCCTATGATGCACCCCTTTGAGTGGCAAGATAACGTCTTCTGGTCTCCCCTTTATCCTCATGTTACAACTGAGCAAACCAGGGCCCAGAAGGGGAAAGGGAACTGCCTCAGCTCACACAGCAAGTTAGCAGTAGAGCAGGTATTAAACCTCTGATAGGATGGGTCCAGCTATGTGCTACTGGGCCTGGTTGTAGCTGCCTGTGGTGTGTGCTACAGAAGGGGCTCAGATTCTAGAAGACAGTTCTCAGGGTGCCTCTGGGAGATGAGAGCCTTGCTTGTTGATTGCTTGCCTGCTGCTTCTATGGCCCAGTCACAATCAGCAGGTGCAATAGATGAATTCATGAGTTCTGAGCAAAAGCGAAAGAGGGTGGGCTAGAGAGGTTCGTGTGCCATCCCCAGTGGGAATTAGGGAATGCGTAGGGACATTTTGTCACAATCGAAAGGCCAGGGTTGCTAATACCCTGCACAAATGATGTTCTGAGGGCCAGGGGAGCATGTGGCCTCATGCTGGGAGTGGCCTCCTTCCTTCCCCTCTTCCCCGCAGCTCCCAGAAGTCACTTCCTCCATTGGGTCTGATTATTAGATAAGATCGCCACTCTGGTAAATGAGTGACCTGCAGAAGGGCCTGGTGCTGAGCCCCATGAGGCCATCTATGCCAAGGCCATGCACCCTCCACCTTCTCCCACCTGCTGTGCCATCTCAGCCTGATCCGTGCTCTTCAGCCATGGAGCAGGGCAGACCTGGGGACTCAGAAGCAAGCTGATTTTCCCAGTTGGATGCACTGTCAGTAGATCTGGAACCCAAGATTCCTGACGTTTTGCCCAGGGCTCTGTCCTGTGCACCTGCTGCTGGGCACACCCAGCCCTGCTTCTGGCCAGCAACTCCTGAGCCACCACCAGAGCCAGCTGGCTCCCATGCCCAGTTCTGCCAACCATCCCCTGGTTGTGTGCCTCCAGAGGTACAACTTCCTTTTTCCAGACCTCAATGTACCCAACTGTAAAATAAACACAATAATTGATGTCCCCAAAATAAAGAATAAAGCACAGCCCTGGTCATGTGTACCTCTCTAGAACACCAAAGGCTCCCTCCTCCCCCTTATGAACACAGGATGCCTTCTGGCAGTTCCCTGGCCAATCTCAGCCTCAGCCTACAGCAGGACTGCCACCAACAGACACACCTGATCCTGGGTGTCTGCTATAGAAGACATTGCTTGAGAACCTGGCTGGGCTGAGCACTGTGCTAGACATTGCAAAAGCACAAAGACACACCAGCCCCAGCACAGCTTCTAGCCTAATGGACAAAAGAGCAAGGCCCAAGAGCAAAAGCAACATCCCTACAGAAATCCTGAGTGCTGGACACCAGGGATAGGTGCAGTGATGAAAAATATACATGCTCCTGCTTCTTGGAAAACACATCATTGTTCATTTAATACACAGTTACAAATGAGCCAGTTACAAATGTTACCTCATGATGGAAGAGGTCAGGGGACAATGAGGATACCTAACAGGAAAAGGCCAGGGGAGTCTTGCCTGAGGAACTACCGGTTAAGGTGCGATCTAACCAGGACCAGGAAATTAACTAGGCCAATGCTGGCCTGGGTGGAAAGTGACAAATGTAACCATGGAGCCTGTTCATTAAAAGGCTCTTGGGAGGAGGCTGTCAGGACACTGAAATAACTAGAAAAAGTCCAGTGTGACTTGTGTGATGATTCCGTGGGTTCCTGAAGAAAGGTACATCTGGAGAAGTAAGCGGACAGGCTCAGGTCACATAGGTCCCTGGGGACCATGAGAAGGAATTAGCACCTAGTCCTAAAAGCAATAGCAAGCCATGAATAGCAGCAGCAGAATGCAATGTGCTTTCAAGAGACCATGTTGGCAAAGCAATGGGTTAGACCATGAACGGAGTGGAAAGTGGGTTGCTGAGGGTGCTGCTGCACCATGTAGGCATAGGGTGACTGCTGGAACAGAACGGTGGGGACGGGTGGTCTGAACAGATAGCATCACCAAGCTTTAGTGATGGCTCTGCTGGGGACGGGAAGGAGGAGGAAGTATCAGGTTCGCTGTCCTGAAGCTGGGTAACTGGCTGGATGCTGGTACCAGACACAGAGCCTGCACGGACTCTGTCTGGGGCCTGTCAAGTCCCTTTAAGACATGAAGAGGTCAGTAGGTAGTGGGGCATTCAGTGCTTAGCTTAGAGAACAGTGGCATTATGTTACTGGCAGCTGAAGCCAAGGACATGGAGGAGGTGACACAATGAAAGAAGATCCACAGAATAGATGAAGAATGAAAGGGGAAGACCTGGAGGAGAGGGTGGGCCAGCAGAGAGCCTGAGAGGACACAGACAGAACCACGAAGTGAAGCCACAAAGACAAGCCCCCAGGACTCCACACAAACTCTTCTCTACCCAAAGCCACCTCTCCACCATGCCACCTGGCCAGGTCCTGCTCCTGCACAACGCAAGCGCAGTCTGCTCTCAGAATCATCCGCACCCACTGTTATGCCCTACCTTTTCTCTCCACAGTGTCCAGGCTTCCCAGCCCCCCAGTGCAGGACAGTGGTGAAGACAGCAAGACATGGGGACTCCAAAGCAGCCTTCTTGCCATGTGATGTGGGCAGCCTACCCTCAAAAGCCTCCCTGTCCTCAGCTATCAAACGGAATAATAGCTACTGTGCAGGCCCCATAGTTCTTGTGAAGATCAAATGATATCATGTATCTAAAACCTTTGTAATAATAAAAACAACCCACTGTTATCCTGGCTCTTATGTTCCCCTGACATGATCTGTTATTGTTTCTTTCTCTCATTCAGCCCATAAACTCTTCCACTAGACAAGGTTTTATCCACCTCAGCATCATCAAGGTTTGATACACAGTAGATGTTTAGTGGAATAGGGAGTTTCCTGGGGCAAGGATGTTCAAAGGAACTCCTATAGGAGCAGGGCTGGATTCCAGGTTAACCCTCTCCAACCAGGATGCACAAAGGGAGGGGAAGGAGAGCACCTCAGGAGAAAAACAGCTTGAACACATTTTTCCCAGCTGAGGGGGCTAGGGGGTGACTTCTCTGCTGAACTTTGACCTCCCGGCCACATATCTTCTTTGAACTGTCAGGCAGCTCCCAGTCTTGTCACTCTCCATCTGAGGGGGCAAAAAGTGAAACTCCAGCCCTGCCCTGGAGCGGCCTCTGGTGAGGCCCAGACATCCCCCATGCCTGGGTTTATTTGTGTGGGACTAGCTGGTTCTCCTAGCCTAGACTTGCAGAGCACCCCTGGCCTAGGCCTTCACCCCTTCCCCACCACCTGTCTGGGTCTCCTGCCTCCTGGGGTCCCCCATGGATTCTCTCTAGGCTAGACAGGGACCCCACACAGTGAACCAAGTCACACTGTAGCACTGGACTGGAGTCCCACTGCCCTACCACATACAATGGCAGGTCAGAAGAGCTTGCAGAGATTTTTTTCACAGAACTTTCTGGACCTCATTTTATCTAAAAAAAAAAAAAAAAAAAAATGGAGTATCTGTCAGGTAAATCACTGTGTGAATTAAAAATTCTTACCTAATTAAAGCATGTAGTTTAAGGAGCGTTAGCTTCATTGTCTTACCTCATATATGGCCCAGAGGAAAGGAAAAGTATATGTTAATTGTTCTCCTATGTGCAGGGGCCAGCTCAGTCCTCTGCCCCTCACCCATAGAGGCTCAAACACAGAAGCAACACATGTATTTTACCTTTATTTTACTTATGAAGAAACCAGGACTGAGGAAAATGAGGGAGCCTTTCTAAGAACAGGTGACATGGCTCCAAAGCAGCGCATCCAGGGTTCAAATGAAGATTATCTGACTCAGAACTCTGGGGGCAGGTTACACCAGGAGCAAAACCTGCAGCCAGGAGTTAGGCATCCAGCTTCCCAGCTCTTCCACCAGTAAGCACAATGCTCATAGCTGCTTGGAGCCGGTCTCCTCACCAGGACACCAGCGGGCTCCTGACTTCACACTGGTCAAGCCCAGAACACATTGCTGATGTAAGAGTCCTCAACGTCTAGCCAGGGCCTGGCACCAGGATGCGCTCGGAGAATATGTGCTGAGGGTCTAAATGAAGGGATCCCCTGCCCCGAGGAGGGAAGCTGGGGACAAAGCCTGAGGGTAGCATTTGCTAGAGGCTGTGGTGTCCTCTCACCATGACAGTTCCACACTGCCAAAGTGAGGCTACGAAGGTGATGCTGAGCAGAAATCCCCAGCTGAATCCAGCACACTGCTGGCTGACAAGAACCCCAGCCTTCTGAAAAGCCTGGAGACCCTCATGTGATGCCACTAACCCAAACGGTGCCAGGGGACAGCAGGAAGTTGAGGTGTGCTGTGGGTTCAGGAAGAAGGGAGGAAGGGCAGGACACTGAGGCCTGCAGGGCCCCAGAGACTGAGCAGGGCTCTGTGCCACTCCACACATGCTCAGGCAATCAAACCTCTGCCAGCTCAGCAGCCCTGCAGCCTTGTCCTACAGTCTTCTCTAGAGCAAAACTTGCTTATTCTGTGCATCATCCAATGACCTGTAAAGTTTAGACTTGCGGAGAGGCAAAGGAACGCTTCCTCGTACGCTCCCGGATGACTAGCAAGCCACGCAGTTCGCCACAGTCAGCTTGGTTTGCAGTTCCCAGGGGAAGCTGCCAGGGCTGGGCTGGCCCACGCCTCGGTCCAGATAGGGAGATCAGGTGGGTTCATCTCCAGAGGGCTGCGTCCGTGTACCTATCCAACACTGGGTCATTTTTGTTTCTTGTTTCCTCTCTCCTGTGGCCTGGATTCTTGGTGTTTCCTCCTAGGAAATCCAAGACTTTGACCCAGCCCAGGCAGGTTAGTCATTTATTAGTGATCTCCTGGGTAGGGGATGGGATGGGGATCTGCAGAGCACCACACTGTCCCAGCTCTTCTTCTGTGTTAAGTCAGTAATGTGCTACTAAAATTGTTGTACTGTTGTTAGATTAGACTCACGACTTCAGAGTCTGGGAAGGGTATGCAGGATGCGGTAGAGAGAAGACATAGTTACAGGGGCCAGTGGAATGGGAGAAATGGCTCCCAATGCTCCTGCACAGAAGGATAACTATTGTTGACAACCACTGATTAAATATTTCAAAATAGCTCATAGAGAGGATTTTGAATGTTCCCAGCACAAAGAAGGGAATACTGCGTCAGGACAGATATGCCAGTTACCCTGATCTGATCATTACACGATGCTTTTATGTATCAAAGTGCCACACTGTGCCCCACAGACACATACAACTGCTATGTGCCTTTTAAAACATACATCAATTTTTAAAATAGTCCGGCTGTCAATGACGGTAATGAAAAATAGCTTATTCTAATATCTTTAAGCAGTATCCTTGGTTACTTGGCTAACTGCTTTCCCAAATAAATAAAATAAAATATTTAAGTTTATACTATGTGTCACGTATGTAAAGTGTTATATTTAACCTTGTAAGCAAACAGCCCAGGACAACTGTTATCTTCATATTATACCGAGGAATAAAGCTCTGCTTAGAAAGACCATATAATTTAACTGAAGTCACGGAGCTAGCAGGTGACAGTTGTACTCATGCCCAGTACTCTCTTCTAGCAATCCTACACTAACTAATCTTTCAGGTTGACTGGGAAACACATCAAGATAATTCCAAGAGTAGACACAGACTGGACATTTAAACTTTCTATCACGATGTAACAAATTACCATGAATTTAGCAGCTTATAACAACATTCATTCATTATCTCATAGTTCTGCAGTCCCAAAATTTAGGTAGGCTGTGTCTTCTGGCCAGGGTCTTAGGCCAAAATCAAGGGGTCAGCTGGCTGGTGTCTTATGGGGCGGCTCCGGGAAGAATGCATTTCTGATCACCCTGAAGTTTACAACACTTTGCCATGGTAGAATGAGGCCCCTGACACTCACTGACTGTCAGTTCATTGAAGCTGCACACTGTCCTGGTCACATGATCACTTTGGTTTTTTAAAAGCCAGCAAGTCCTTCTCATACTTCAAATATTTCTAAGCTCTCCTTCTTCTGTATGTCCGTGGCTTCCTCCACCACTGGTGGCTGGAGAAAGCTTGCTGCTTTAAAAACTTGTGTGATTCTGTTGGGACCGCCCAGATAATCCAGATTAATATCCTGGTCTTAAGGTCAAGTATACCATAGAACATAATCACAGGAGTGATGTCCTGGTGTTATTCACAGTTTCCAGAGATCAGGGAAGATCTTTGCTGGCCCATTTTGGGAATCCTGTGTGCTGTAGTGGTTAGATAGATATTAGCAGCAGCAGTTCTGGGTGTTCACCAGGAGTAGGACTGGGATGGAGTAGGCCTTGTCACTAAGGGTTAGAAAAACTCAGAAAGCACCATGGGAACACTGAGTAGTCAAAAGTAACGGACACAGATAAAGGCAGGATCTATGGTAGAGAGAGAAATGGGAAAGAAGACAGAAAAGAAAAATATACTTCTAAGAATTCAGCCTTACATCTGGAGAGAAGTTCAAGTGCTCTTTGTTCCCTCTCAGTGGCTGTCAAAAGATGTTCAGTAAAAAATGGGTGAAATTAAATGGGCCATGTTGCTCAGTTGCCATAGAACCATTGAGGTTCATTAGGTAGGTGGGCATTAGGATTGAGTTGGCAGAGTTGGGTGACTGAAGGTTAGCCTTAGTTGTGCCAGCTTGATTGACTCAAGAAATGCCTACTGGATTAGTAAAGCTCATTTCTTGTGTCTGGTGGATCATGGAGGCATGACTTTGGGTACTACATGTGGCCCCTACTCCCTTCCTCTCTGGCGCTGTTCCCTTGCTCTGCTTCCCAGCCATCAAAAACTAAGCATCCTTCTTTGCTCCACCACCCACCTCTGCCATGATGTTCTGTATCAATCGCCTATGAATCCCCTGAAATTGTCAGCCAAATTAAATCTCTCCTTCTTTAAATTACGAGTGTCCAGTATTGGGTCCAGCAACAAGAAGTGGGATTATTAAGACTGACTTAGGAATAAAATGCCTTGTTTAGATTAAGGGAGTTAGTATGGGCTGATTTGGCATAGGTTAAGTATTTATTTACATGGGTCAATGTGGACAGATATTATCTGGAGTAGACGAGTTGCCCTGGGTTGGGCAGAGCTACACTGATTTGGATAGGGCTTGTTGAACATGCCTGGATGAATTGGATGATTTGGGACTGGACTGGTTTGGGGCAGGGTTAGACTGAGTGGAAGACAGCATGAGCTGGGAATTCTCTAGCTTTCCACTGCAGAGACAAAATTCACTCTGGATAGTTTATGCAGCAGAAATAAATGTATTCATGGTATTGAGTGGCTTACAGAAATATTTGGAAAGCTGAAGAAACAGATTGTAGGCTGCATCTTTGGGACCAAGTCCCAAAGCTGGGCTGCAGAACTGGACCACCAAGGCAGCTGCTCCTTTTGCAACCATCGGAAAGCCATCTGCCAAATCAGGAAGCCGCCAGCCCAGCTTCTGGCTCCAGAATCGCACTCATTGGCATGTCCACACCAGCTGAATGCACACCTCAGCATGAAGGCATTGACAGGCTTCGTCTCCAGAAAACAAAGCTGCAGCTTTGGACAGATAACCTAAAATAGGGGAACTATGCCCAGCTGCTGTAGTTGGGTGGTGGGGACAGAGGCGCACCCCACTTTTCTCGGTTAGCTATGTTCATTTCTACAAATATTGTTGGAACATATTACGCTTTCTCTGCCTATCTGCCCACTTGATTCACTTCTGAATTCCAGCCTTGCATAAATAGATGGCATTTGATGAAACCCACATCACATCCATAGCTCTAACTTTAGGGCAGTCTAGGAAGTACAGTTTCAGCCTTTCAGCCTCAATGGGACACAAAAGCACTCTAGAAGGAGGGAGGCAGAGAGGCCAAAGGATCCAGTCTAAGCATCTGCCCCCATAAGCTAGGTGGGATGGATTGGATGGGCCAGGAGGGATGAGGTCGGCCCGGGTCAGCCTGGGTGGAGCTAGCTAGGTTGGCAGACAGGTGTATGGTTGAGTGCGCTGATCTGAGCCTAGCAGCATTGGCAGGAGTGGACTGGCATGGGTGCAATGTGCCGAGGGCCTCTGGGAGACCAATGCTGGGCACCAAATGGAGCCCCATGAGTGCCACAGAGTGGTTTTACCTGGTCAGAGCAAGGAAGGCAAGGCCCGGGAGCTGACATGTTGCTGACAGAGGCATGCTTATCAGCCTCCTCCCAGGGCTTCCTCCCCACCACTGGGCCAGTCCCATCTCTGCCCACTCAAGCCAGCCCTAACCCCAGGCTTTGGACATTTCTGGCGTTCAGCTCTTCCCCCTCTGCCCTCCTTAAAATGAAGTTTATTCTAGCAAGAAGAATGAAAAGAAAGTTCCAAGGAGAGAAACTTGCAGAATGTATTGTCTCAAGGCAAAACAAAACCCAGTCAGGATATCAGAGCCATATGGCTCGCTCCCTCCACTGCTGGTAGGAGGAGCTGCGGATGGGTAGGAATTTGGGACCAGTTGCAGAGTCCCACAGGTGCTGTGTTCATGAGCCAAGCGAAACAGGTGCTGGCAAGCACACTTGTTCACACACCAAGGTAATGCCTACGAACACAGGGCTTTCCAGTTGGCAATATGTCTTCAGTGTGTGGACATTCTCTCAGAGTAGCACTGTAGGAGAGAAGCTGTTCTGGAACATCCCAAAGATAGCCACTCACTCACATCCAGGGAGGCCAAGTGGCTTTTCCAAAGACACACAGCACAGCTTGAATTCCTTTCTTGTTACTGTTGCTTACACAACATTATCTGTCTCCTTGATCAAAATTCAGCCTCCATGCGGTATGCAGCTTCGTCCATCTTGTTCATAGTGGTAGTCCAAGCACAGAATATAGTAAGTATGCATGTACACTTACTCAATATACATTACTAAATAAAAAAGAAAGAAATTCAAGCCTCAAAAATCCACATTCTTTCAATGATCGCACACACACACACACACGAGCGTCACTTGTCCCAAATCCTTGGTGTCTTCTCCCATCTCTGCTTGCTGGTGCTGCCTGGACCAGGTCATGGGTTCTTGCTCTTCCTGACCCACTGGCTCAAGACCAAGGGAAGAAGTCTCTGGATTCAAACCTCTGAGCGAGCCCAGCACATTCCTGGTATAGTAGGTGCACAACAAACATGTCTCCCTTCACCATCTGCCTTCATATAGGCCCTGTAGGGACATCTAGCAGAGATGCCTGGCAATTCCATTAGGATACCAGGCCTGCTCTTTCAAGAGAGGACAGTAGCTGGCCCAGGCTAGGGTCGAAGACCACATCTTGATGTAGGTCAACCAGCCTACAAGCCTCTGCTGCTCAGAACATGGTCTCATTCAGTGCAAAGACAATCAGAGGGCCAGGCATTATTGTGCACCCATTTTATATGTAAGGAAATTGAGGTTTCTAAAGAAGACACTGAAATGCCCACAGCTGCATAGCTGAAAAACACAAGCCCTGGGTCAGAGGCCAATGTGGATGACTCCAATGTGCCCCCAAGAGAGCACATCTCCCCTGGGCTCTGTGAAGGGCAGGATAGTGTCCCCTCTTCTCCCATCCAGCCTTTCTCTCTCAGCCTGGGTCAGCACAGGGTGGGGGAGGAGGAGCACTTCTTGCTGCTTCCGACTGATATTGACGGATGGAGTGACTATTGTAAATGCTACCGTGTTGTGTAATCAGTAGGAAAATGTGACTTGGTCCCCGGAGAAACCAATGGCATTTTGGAGAAAATCCTATCCTTGATTTTTCTGGGCCTGTTGAGTTAAAATGTCTAGGTGACAGGGACAAGCTGGGGACTCTGACACACAGTATCTGAGAGGGCCACTTGCTGTTCTAGCCCCTGCCTAAGACAGTAGGGGTTGGAAGGAATCCCTACAGGCAGTGCTCAGGCTGTGCGTGTGTGTGTGTAAAATACTGGGGGTGAGTGTATGTGGAAGAAGGAGAGCAGATTGGCCATCTCAAACCTCACTCTCTCTGCCTCATTTCTTTTTCTTTACAGAGGAGGAAAGGAAAAAAGCACCCAGCTCAGTAGGAGGGTAGGTGAAAACGTGCGGTAATGTGATGAGCACTTACAAAGTCTGATGCCCTGGAAATAGCAAGTGAATGAAGGAATGGAAGACCAAATGACGAAGCGTGTGCCAGTACCAAGAGGATAGCATTTGGACCAGGAGACCAAGCTGGAGCTATTTGTCACCTACTAGCTGAGTGACCTTAGGCAAGTCACTTAACCTTGCTGAGCCTCAGTTAATAATAGCTATAATCCCTGCCTCTGCGGTCCTTGTGAGGATTAAAGGAAAGTGCCAGGTGGAACCACCTGGTTAACGGCAGGGCTCTGTGCAAATGTTAGTTGTAATTATCTGCTGCAATTATGACTGCTCAGCAGGAAGCCCGTGTAGGAGTGGGGGTCTTGGAGAGGCTGAGGAGGGTGGGTTTGTGACCAGGCTGTGTGTGTGTGTGTATTGTGTGTGGGTGTGTTTGGAGAACCGGGGCCATTAGAAAAACCATCATTCCTCTAAGTTGTTCTTTCTTTTGCTAAACTCAACCTGCCAGGCTGACATCGGAAACAGGAATTAGTGGCAAGTCTGGGGGGACAGGATTAGTGGCTGAACTTTCTATTCCTGGAGACCCTCTTTTCTCAGGAGGTCAAAGCAATTTCCATATATTATCCTGCTGGCAGCTTGGGAAGGTCAGGGAAACAGCAAACGCAGGCGAGGTCCTCAGATGGAGAAATCAAGGCAGGAAGAGCAGCTGCCAGGGCCGCCCTGCACTGCCAGTTTGAACCACCGTCCAAAGGACGGTACAGGCACAGGGCCTGTCCTGGTGGGAAGCAGCTTGTTCCTTTGAGTGTTCATGGCATCCCCCTCCCTCCAGGCCCAGCACTGCTGTGTGTGTTTCAGGAGAGGATTAGAGCAAGACCCAAAGTCCCTGACACATGGGCATGCAACTCTCAGAGGGCCTTACTCCACCTCCATCCCCACCTTTCAGCCCCCTCACTCACTCTATTAGTCCTTCAAATTCAGGTTGCCTCTCCAGGAAGTCTGCCTCACTGCCCTGTGCTGCAGATGGAGCAGTTCTTCCCCGCACCGCTGGAGAGAAGGGACCAGGAGCAGGGGGTCTGAAGTCCAACCCCATGGCACCTACTGTGGCACAAGGCAAGGCCAGGAGGTGTCCTGTGAAAACGACCAGAACAGGAGCCACTGGTGAGCTGAGGCACCCGGCGGGGGCGGCTCTCTCAGAGGTCAGAGCAGCAGTTCTTCAAGTGGGGTCCCTGGGCTGGTAGGGTCAGTGACACCTGGGAACTTGTAAGAGAGGCCAGTTCTCCTGCCCCACCCCTGATCTCCTGGGCCAGAAGACTGTGAGGGGTTCAGTTAGGGTTGAGCAAGCCATGCAGATGACGGGGATGCTCCTGAGGCTTAGGGCCCCAGGCTCACACCTCACGCCCTACCCCTGCAGCTGCAGCCAGCACCTGCCTTCCCAGCAGGTCTCAGGAGCCGCCTTGGCCACACTGGCTTTGGTTCACCAAGCTGGGCTCCTACTCCAGCCAAGCCACAGGGATTACAGCTCCAGGTCATCTCCACTACCATTCAGTGTCACCATAGGTATCCTTGAGCCCCCTGCGCCCCACAAGCCTCTTGGTTCCACCCTGTATGGAATAAGGACTCTACGGGACACTTCTCCATTTGTCCATGTCCCCACCGATCCTGGCCCTCCTTCCCAGTATGTCCCTGCCCTTCTCATCTATGGAGATCCGAGTGTTTCTAGGGGGCTCCAGGAAAGTGACTGCTGTCTCCAGGCCACCTGTCTGTCCCCATGGGGGGGTCCCAGAAGGTGTTCGAGGGCCTCCAGAGGAAGCTGGATGAAGAGACCCAGACCAGCAGGGCTGCTCTGTAGCAGTAACCGCCCCACTCCTGGGGTCCTGGGCAATGGCTGGCCCGGAGGGGTGTAATCCTCCATTCCCTGCCCCACAGCCCTCTGGCTGATAACACATCTTGGTCTGCTCTGCTCTGCCGTGATCCCACTGACCTCCGCGCCCCCCAAACCTGGGCAGGAGCCAGAAGCCAGGAGCCCAGCACCAGCAGGTGTGCCATGGGATGGGACAGCGGCCCGGCCACCCCCACTGGGCGCATGGAACAATCAAGAGCAGAGGTGGGAGTGGAGACTGGGAAATGCAGTAGTGTTCAAACGCTGTGGCCGAGGGCACGCCTCACAGTTAACAAAGTGCGTCTTCTCGTCAGCGTTTCTGCGGCTATCAGAGTCTCCAGAACAACCACAAGACAAGGTAGTGGAGTCAGATGACTCATCCAGGTCTGACTGGACCGCGGGGGCCTAGACAGCCCAGGAGCTAGGTGCGCCTCCGACCATGTGCACAAGAGGGCGCCATGGGCCCGCAGCAAGACCAGTCCAGCTCTACCCTCCTCGGCCGCTCTCGGGGTTCTGCTCCAACTCGAAGCTTCGGAGCCCCGCAGAGCTCGGTAGTGAGGGTCCAAGGGTGTCTGGGAGGAGTGGAGGAGAGATGCGCAGGGTCTGAACTCAAGATTCCAATTCCTAAAATCCTCTCCATGCTGTGTGACCTCTAATGAGATGTTTGACCTCTCTGAGCTTCATCCGTAATTACGGAAATAAAATTCCCACCCCTGCCACCACTTCAACACAGCCCGCCAAAGACTCCTAAGCCCACAGATGAGATCGTTGATTCAGGCTTGCTGTGCAAACGCTAAAGCACCATTCACAGGTCAGTAATTAGTATAAAGCCTTTTCTCCTCCGACGCTGCGTCTGAAATCCCCCTCGGACGACACCGGCGCGATCTCCGGTTCCCATTTTATGGACACTCAACCTAAGGCTCAAAGAAACTGCTCTTTCGTGTGGCTCAGCCCGGCAGCGGCAGGCTGGTCCCAGGCGGCAGCCCCAGACTCGACCCTCCCTGTCCCTCCCTGTCCCGCAGCCTCCGCTCCAGCCACCCCCAATCTTCTGCAGACTCGGGGAACTCGGAAAGCAAAATCTGCCTGAGAAGCCATAGAACCGGAAGGCTCGGGCCGACCCCACCCCGTTCCCGCCTGGGGCGAAGGGCAGAGGGTGCTCC